ACCAGCATGGTGTTGTGAGGGTATAGCCCGAAACAACTTTCATGTTTTTTCCGTGTTGCTACCTACTTTTGGCTACTTTAATTTAAAGCAGCAGATACGATCAAAAGATTTGCTCTGTCATCAAATAATTCTCTATTTTCCATCATCTGTTGATATTGACAGTTAAGTAGTCTAGACAACACATGTTTACCATTTCACTGTTTTAAATATGCTCTCAACAACATCATCGCAACTTTCGGCCCAGCTGGTTTACTAGTAAAGCGAATATGTTGCACCATCATGCATGGCTTGTCTCTCATTACAAAGATAACCAGCAGTAACTCTATAACTCTGTCGGCGATTAGCTACTCTCGCTGTCAATCACCTAATCTATAAGGATGTAATATTACATTTTGGCTTGTTTGTCTTATTCAGCAGTCGGCTAACCTTTGATAGCGGAAAGTATTTCGTTTAACGTACTTCATTTACGGGGAAAGAACTTTCTGTTTATTCCAACCAGCCCCCCTCTAATATTTTATTTTGTTCGAGCTAGAACGTACCTCCAGTTTTTTTCTACAGGTTATTCAGACTGTTTTTTTTCAAACATGAAGAATACATGTCGAGTGTAACTTCTTCCTCAATTTTTATAAGAGACCGCTTTCTAGTAGCAATACGCGGGACCCGGTAAAAACCAAATCATGGAATGGTCACTAAATTACCTAAGCAGGACCGTGCCGTGTCATGCACATCCGCTCCGTTTTTTTTCTGCTCATCACACATTAAATTATTCTTTGCTTTATTACATTACTTTAACTATTGTAAATTTTGAAATTATATTAATTAACATCGAATTTTGAAATAGACAACCATCCATCGCGGTTTCTAGTTTTAGAATCAGACCCTCCTGTAGACAGTTTTCTATTACGTATATGATGCCAATATAATTTCAAGTAAAGGATCGGTAATATAAACAATTTAAAAAAATCGTGTCTTAAGTCGCCAACGTAAGCACATTTGTTATTATTTGCATATATGATCAATATACATGGCATAAGACCCATAATGTGTTCCCAATTTTGAAACTATTCGTAAATAGCTGTATCATGATATTATACTATTAAGTAAAAAGACAACCGTATTTGCGGTGTAGTATTGCATTTGTACTTTTTAAAATTGTTTAATGCAAACTCATTTGTTTTATGTGTTTTTCTATCTGTACCCATAAACCCCATAAAGGCAGATAGGTTTTACAAGCCAGAGTGTAAAGGTCAGGTAGGTTTTACCTCCGATAGTAAAATAATATATATAGCTAGATTGGGGTGTATAGTAGTTTCAAAAGTGCACGCTCCATTCACACACGGAAATAAACATCGTTGATATGTTATCATGGTTTTGACCTTTACTTTACGCGTAAAGAATATATGTCTAATTTAATGTTTGCAATTCAGATAGCAATGCACGTCTATTATGTAGCTAATAACACATTTTATTGGCGTGTTTCAGTTTTAAGGAGTCAATACACTCATAAATTCGAATAAAGACACATCTTGAGTATTGCTCTGTGGTATGGTTGTCGTGGTGGAATTCATTTGCCGATACGGTAGTTTGTTCAGCACATATTAATAACCATTACTATATGGTTATATAGTCGCCTATTCTTGTGAACACTTGCTTTAATACTTAGCTTTGTTATTGTTGTTGTTGCTGCTTTTATTTACAGGGCAACATTTATCTGATCTTCATCAGTCTGTATAACGTTTTTGTTTTTTGAAAACGTATTCGAAATTAAAATTTTGTAAAATGAACAGATGGTCGGTCAGTGGGAATTGTTCAATTAATTAAGTTAGTAATTTGCACATGAGATTAATTATATGCACCATGATTTAGTAACATGGTAATGCATTCTTTTTACCGGGGAATATATGTAATACGTAGGAACAGGAACATATGAATCGAACAATGTTTAATGAGTTTACTGAAACTGAAAGCGTCGGCATCGTTAACTTATTCCACAGTGCGATTCAATGTGATGCTAATTACGATATTATAATTAATGAGTTTACTGAAACTGAAAGCGTCGGCATCGTTACCTTATTCCACAAAGCGATTCAATGTAATACTAATTACAAGATTATACCTGATTGGTTACCCAGGCCTAACACCAAACCGTAAGACCAAGCAGAGAGCAGCTTATGTATTGGAGTACCAAATTCTGCCTTGTATATGTTTCGACTCAACTGAAATACTCCATAGGGACATAGTAGCTAAATGTATCTAGAACAGCCCTAAATATCTGCAATCCAACACATCACTATGGGGAGGATTCGAATAACACACTTTTTTCATATCATGCAACGTAAATTATGTAGGCTGCGATTATTAAATCTATGACCTTGTCCATTGAATAGCCACCATGCTGAGTTAACAGTTCACCTCGGGAAAGTTAATATCCACTCTACACATTCAAACACAAAGCATATAAAGATAAAGACGAGACGGAAGGAAGCTCGAATATTGAATAAATACATATATGCACGAAAACTGAATTGGACTCCTACCGGCATCTATAATTCGTGTTTACTACTGCGTAGCCTATGGTATTCATCCGTCATGCACGACAAACACGTTGTTGTCTCAATAAAAGATGAACGATATTGTTTCTTTGACAATGACAAATAGCACACCAGGAAACTGTTAGTTATTATTAACTACTTATGTATAATCGATATTAAAATGCACAATTATTGAGCTGCGTGAAAGGACTGTTCACGACCGTGTTTTATTTACAGCTACAATCGATAAAAGCATTGTTTCAAAACAATTTTTCGAAGCAGGGCAGCCGACTCCGACATGTTGGACGCAACCAACAGAAGCCGTCTCGTTTAGTTTGAACACTTATTTGGTCTATTTCGTACTAGCTTCCAAGATTGGAACAAACACACTTTCTCTATCGACCCAGCTAATTCCTAATAACAACTGATGTGCTGTGTCGCCTTATTCCACGCACACAGCCAGAAACCTAAGAAAAGTTGGGGGTCACCAGCCTTATTTTCGGGAAATTGAAAGTCGCCATTTTTTCACTATTAAAATGCCTTCACCATAGGTTCCTATGGCAGAGGTATTATGCAAGATTAGGCTGAAAAATCATATTTTGTTAAGTAATGAAGGACTGTTTTTTGTAGGACACGTTTCTCAAAAAACTTAACAGTAACGCAAAATAATGATATTTCATTGTACTATTAGCTTCATGATTGTACATAATAAACTAATGAACATTGTCATGCGATTTGTGGCCAATATTGTCAACAATTATAACACTCAGTCGACCCTGTGCACGCAATAAAAACCCTGTGTTCGAGGGGTCGATAAAATGTAATGTAAGTTTGGTTTGAGTTGGCTGCATGGTCGTGTCGGCTTGTTCGTATATACTGGCGGAAAATAACTATGAATCCGCAACCCAATTTTTGTTTAACCCGTCTTGTACTAGAAATACCATGTTTGTCAGACGGTCAGATTTTTACACAGTAGCTTGTGTTCTACACCAAGTCATGGCATGCATTGGTCTGTTTTATACATGTTGTCTTAAAGAAAATTAGGACGACAATTCAATAAGTTAGTACTTGATTGGTCGTTACCGCATTGTTCATGGTTGGTATCAGATCATATACATTTAGAAAGCCACGTGGTATCGCTTCAAATCAACTTATGTTACTGGTGGTGGAATTGGAATTGAACAAATGATCACACGCCGGTACGATGTAATTAATTAGTAACAATTACCGTACTATAATTTCATATTTCAAATTAAAATTAATTTAATTATTTATTTAATAAATAATCCCAAACAATTAATACACCCTGTACAAGGACAATATATAATTGCATATAGCAAGACATATCGCACATAAAGTAGACAAATATTTACACACATTTGGAATGTAAAATTTAGGTAAGTAATAGATATAGCAAAGTCAATTGACTAATTGAGAACAAATTATTATAACAATTTATACAAAGTTGAAGTGGTGAGGATTTAATAAGATTAACCATGCACGCATTTGATATGTTTATATACGTAGTTCAAATAATTAGATTGTGTATAAGGTAGATGTAATCTTACAATATATACGATGACGATACATATGAAATCATCCTTTTTGTCATACAGTGTATTATATTGTGTATTTCGTTTATAAAGATAAACTTTCTCATAGATTCATTTTATCGTTATGGGACCGGTATCTGCCACTCCGTGACCAATGCAATTTTCATTCAGTGATACAAAATATGATCCCTTGACGATAATAACTTGAATAGAGCCGAGGAGTACTCCATCGTAAATCATTCTATACATATGTGTATTGTGCTTTTTCTAAAAAAGAGTTTTATAGTTCTGTGATTAGTTTTTCGCAACAGATGTACGCAAGAACCTCTTTTGGGAGTCATAATTGTTATATTCTGACAATATTTTGTATTTGGGCGAGGGATACAAATTTTCCTAAAGATATCAATCAGTAGATTGGATCTTTGAAAATTTTGAGTTTGTTTCAAAGACGTTATTTTGAATATGTATCATAATAGTTGGATCAATAGTTACAAGTATTATACGATTATTTTTTTATATGAAGTAGGTGGCATATTGTAACAAACTATATGAGACTACCGCGTTAAATCCAGTATACAATACACACCACTAATAAAAGCAATGACTAATTCACATTCATGTGAACTATAAAAAAATTATCTTGAAGAGTATATTGCAAACTGAATTGAATACTGAAATGGATTTTCAATACGGATTTGCGGAATATGTAACTGTCGAGTTGCGGTGTATGATATTTTATTCATTTATGAGATAACACTCATACTTGAAAACCCCTATTATTATTTCATCCAACTGTGACGAATGGGTCTCGTACATTGCCGCTATATGACAAAACAGTCCTTATATTAAACATAAGCCGGATCGGAATAGAAAATAGAAATCTAGCATCTTATTCAAAAAATATTTGTACCAACAGCCACAGTGACGCCATCAACTTTCAGCCTATCAACTGCATCATTTAATCTGGACGTGATAACCAGCAGTGGAGAAGATCTATGCCGGTCAGGCAACATCGAAGAAGACATTGACCCATTTGGTTGCTATGGGAACTACACATCATCAAGTGGAGTCATCAAATTCCCTTTAAGCGATGAAGATGATTATCCCAATAATATGAACTGTATATGGGTGATTTCCGTCAGTCAAGGTGGGTGCAAGCAAGTGTTTAGTCAAATTATATTGCACAACTTTTAACTTTCTGAATAAATTATGTATTTTGCTGGGTTAATATATAAACATTTTTTTATATTGACACGTGACAGGTTCTCGGATACGATTGACATTTCCTCGTTTTGATATCGAGGGTGTCAATAAATGTATGCCCAATGATGAAAACAATTGTCGATATGACGAGTTGAATATTTATGACGTAATATCCGATACAGAACAAAATAAATTGCTACATTGGTGTGGAAACGAGCCACCTCATAAGGTAATTATGCACGCATTTGATACTAGATACAGGTCTTCTTCAATTAATCATCAGTTATGAATAACAGTGTAGCAAAAAAATCGTAAATGTCAATGATCAGCATCTGGGGAATGTGTCTGAAGCATGTAATGGGTAAAGCATGAACTCGTGATGGTTACGGCGAGCAATGGGCTCAAAGGCGTGACGTTTATGTACCGTAACCACCAAATGACCGTGATTTAACTAATGTGTACCATGTTTTTCGCGAATTTGGTATCAAATTGTTGTGAATACGCGTGGTTTAATTTGTAGTCCATCGACATGAAATGTAAATCACGTCGAATTTGGATTTGTTTGAAACTTTTAATTTTTTCTCGTTACATTTGAGACATTCGATTATAAGCAATCGTGATCAGCATGATATTGCTATGTTAGTAATATTATTGTTATGACTGTACCCAATACTACGCTTATTCAGGAACTGACGATGCCTTAGTATTCAGTGAGCAAAAGATTGAAATAAAATGCACTTTAAACCAAAATAGAAAACTCGTCCTAAGGAAAATCGAAAAAAGGTTCATTGACGTAGTTTTATTTTTTTGTTTTTAAATTATGTAAAAATAATTACTAAATACTACAACAAGAAAACATATATTTTCAATGTGTTACATTTATTAAATACTACTTTCGAATACAAGCATTGAATCAATAAAATATCCTCGGAAAACAAACACTTCTACCGCATGTGGTGCACTTTTTACCGGTGAACAAAAGAAGGCGCAAAACATACAAAAGTGTGAGCAGCGATGATAAGCACTACGGCCTAATCTGTGGTAGTTCAAGCACATATAATGCGAGGAATTGTTTACAAGTACAAGGCACGTTTTCTGATTCAAATATTATGAGGTTATTACGAGGATACCTCAAAGTATGCACGAAGACAGTACAGCGGGAGTATCGACCGTCGCGCAGCGGAGGTTGATGTGGCGGCGTACTGTCTGAGTGCAAAATTTGAGGTATCCTCGTATTAACCTTACTATTGTGCATCTTTTCCTTCTAAGAATACATCATGGGTATGCCGAAACTTAAAAAGTTTAGAACAGAATCAGCGAACTTCTTTGTTTGGAATCCGGTCAAACCTTAGTGGCAGCCATGTTTGTATTTATTATTAGAGGACGCTTACGCGCGTAATCATTCAATATTTGGAATTCGCATTTTCTAATATGGTAGGATGAAAATTCCCCGTAAAATACCGCAAAATTACGGCACGCTGTAACTTATGGCGTTACGGTGACAGTTGTATAATAATACGCATAAGAACTGTGTGTATGTGACTCGATATGCTAACTAATTACACATTCGCTGCTATATGTTTTCTTCAAGGACATAATCTCAGATGGCAATATGATAATAATCAATTTTCTCAGCGACGACTCTGTACGTAAAGCTGGTTTTCATTTAAGCTATGACGAAATAAGTAAGTACATTGATTAGTTAGATAAGTCGTCCTATTATATCAAGTAGTAACCCATTTATATTAGATATTGTAATTATTTGTATTTGTACTTAAAGCGGAGGAGTCGTCACCTGCGCATGCGTCAGATGGCCATAGCGTTTCATTGTTTACAAACACGCGTCTGTTATCGTCGCTTGGGACTCAATTCCCAAGCGTGCGTAGGTGACGACCCTCCCGCTTTAAATATTGAAGTTGCACATCCTTAAAAATTCTTTATAATACTAATGTCACAAAAGGGGCAAATGATATTTGACAGTCAAAGGTAGAAGCCTACCCATAAATGATGTTACCTAGGACTGTCTACTTTGCAATTTATTGTAATCATGGATATATTATAACATATAACTCAATGAACATTGTCATACGATAAATTTCCTCAAATATGGGCTTTTATCTTAAATGATATGTATCACATAATTTTAAAAGAAAATTAACCTAAATTTTGAAGAATTTAGTTAATTTGAATTGTTCGAATCATCCTCAACAAAATCGATATATTCATTTTTATCAGGTATCGATGCCAAATGCCCAGATTCGTTCGGACACTTGTTGCAGCCATCCTATCGAGAAGAACTCTGCTTCCATGATCATGCGCTGTACATTGATACCAGTTTGCGCATGCCCTGCAGCGGCACTGTGACTGGCTGGGAAACCTTCACGACAAACTTGAATCTTGGGAGTCAGTTGTCAGTGGGTATTTATAGAATGACCTCCGACCCCTGGATCTTTACCGAAATTGGGATGAATGATATAGCGGTAACTCTGCTAATGCACAACGCCCAACAGGTCGTCCCGATAGAACGGAGAAAACAAATAGAATTTCAAAAAAACGACTTTATCGGTGAGTACAACAGTTCCATATAACTGATGTAGAATTAATTATTTGTGGGAAATGGATATTCTATGTAGTATTTGAGGTAAGGGGCGCGCCATTACGACAGTGTCATTATCGCTGTGAATAGTTGGTTATACGCATGAGATTAACCCATCTGTTAGTTGGGCGGAGTCTGTGATGTTTACTAACCCTGTTTAATTCACTTCTACTCCGAAGGATTTGAAATCAAAGGTCAATCGTCCATTGCTCATACATATCACCACCAGTGCATGACAGATAACTTTCTTTACCGAATTGACGGTGATTATGCAAATAACGCGAGTTTTGACCTACGTTCTGCCCACGTGACCACATCAAACGCGGTATTTGCCATCCGGGCTACATTTACCGAGAGTAAGTATTCATGAAATGCAATATTAGTGTGTCTTATGTATACTTTAAAATATATACCAGATTTAACCAGATATACAGGCACATTGTAGCTTGAATAATTCAATAACATCATCACATAGCACGGGAAACAATTAATATTTGCCGAGGCAAAAGAAAGTAGAAACACTACCATGAACTTCTAATTAAATTTGTTTTGCTATAATTATTATGCTAGGTTGTGATTTGGACAGTTTTTCTGGGTGCGGTGGGTTACGTAATCTCCAAGATCCATCTTGTGGTCGTTATTTTGAAAGTATAAACTACCCGGAGCACTATATTGGTGATGTCACATGTTCCTGGGACATAGCGGTTTCGCAGGGAGCTTACGTCATGTTGAACTTTGTGACCTTTGACCTACAGCCACCAGACAATGACGAGCTGTGTTTGGATTACGTCAGTGTTTTTACTGTACATGAAGGTAATTGACCTCATCATTTTACATTCAGTTGCAGACATCATGAATTATTTGGCGACACATTTGAAAAGAAAAATTAATTACCTGTATAATATGTTTTGCAGAAAGCTTGACAGAACTTGTCAGATACTGTGGGTTCGGGGCGAAGACGTTAATGGCGCCAAGTGATAGAATCCATGTCAACTTTGTATCAGATTCCTCGGGTCATTACCCAGGATTCCGTGCTGTGATAGAAGAATGTGGTAAGCGACCTCCATTTTCTATTTCGACTCGCCTGCTGCTCGGTATACTTGGACCTCTCTTGGGTATCAAGCATACAGTATCAAACGGGATTCAAACTGCATCTATTTTGCGAACTTATTTATTGATAAAAACATATTTTTTTCAAATCGTCAGGCAGCACGCGTCGTGTATGTCCCATATAGAAGACGACGTGGTATTCCGATCGTGTGTTTTAGTTGGGCTATAACATTTACACAATAGTGTTTTTAGATGAATCGGTCATTATTACCAACAGGTTGTGGATGTGATTTGACCGTGAGTGTATCTGGCCAGTATCTCCAGTCTCCATCAACCGCATTGGCTGTTATAAACGACCCTATGATGTGTACATGGCACCTACGGCTGTCTCGTGCTGATATCGATCTTTATGTCGTCTTGCTTCACTTAACAAAGGTAAAGCTAGACAACACCGATAGTTGTCACAATTTCATCCTCGTGGAAGACGTATCTGGTGGTGAGAAGAAGACACTGACGAAGATATGTGATATTTCTGACGTCACGCAACTTGGTTACCAGTCGTCCGGTCCTGAAATGTTTATCTCATTCAAGATAGTTTCCGGAGGCTTTCTTGAAAATCATTTCCAAGCTGTGCACCAGGAAGTCGCAAAAGTAATGCAATGTAAGTACTATTATGCTAAACGGTCTACAATTACTCACCCATCGATACACAAAACCACCCATCAGTTCATTCATCATCATTACTCGTTCGTACGTTCGTCCGTCCATCCATTCGTCTATTCATCCATCCACATGCCCACACATCCAATCATTCATCAACCCACCTTTCCATCCACCTCACACACAGACACCCATTTATCCATCCACTATTTCGTCTAATATTTGCATATTGCTTATTAGCATATTGTACTAGTACGCATGCGCTGAATAAAAAGATGCTCCGGCACTTCTTGAAGTTTGTGTCTTTCTTCCTGCAGTCCTTACTTAGCAAGCGTGTCAGTGTTAAATACACAGTCAACATCGTATACATCGTTTTTTCGAGTAAGGTGTCCGTGTCAACAAGAGACGGAAGATTAAATTCGAGTTTACAGTGTCGTCTGGAAGCAGAGCTCCGGCGCAAGATCTACCGATCGTCTGTAGTAACTTTTTGTCGTCTGTCACTGCCAGAATTCGTCTGAATCACAGGATTTAGGACATGGACACTGTAAAAATCAGTCGGCAGATTTAACGTAACGAACATTGTCATGAATTTAATTTTCAAAGGTGAAAATAACGAAGTCCTGACGAATTTTGTAGCGACATTTCGGTAATTTTTTGTCAGGTGAAAACGACATGGCTACTGGAGATGCTTATCTGGAAACTGTCTGTCCTTTCGATGATTCGAAATAAGACTTTTATTTCTTACATTGATAGGTTGAAAATGTTCTTCGTTTCGAATGATAACCGAGAAGAAGATTTTAAGTCGGCGCTGTAGTGTATTCCGCGTATGACTATCAGTAGAATACAAAATCAATCAGGCCAGTAGGTAATAGAAAATTGTGACAATTTAATCCAAACAAAACATAATAATTATTACAGACTCCAGTTTGATTAGATTGTCACAGCACTTGGGGTATGATTTAGCTTTTACACTGCCTAACTATGCTGCATTTCTTAGCTTGCAGTGATATCTTCGTCGACAGTGAGAACATGACTGCTGTTTTGAAAGTTCCGCAGAATTCTGGTCAGTATGCAAATTACATGAACTGCACGTGGGAAATTGAACTAAATGTCACTGGTGAATTGAGTTTCTACTTTGAAGAATTCAGTCTGGAGCCAGGTACGTATTTAACGTCGCTACAAGTCACATGTGTACCTTTGAGTGTCAGATTTGTTTTGTAATAGTGGTGGAACTACCTAGTCGTAATTTTCGTCAATATAGCTTTTCAGCAAGTCGGGTCATTTAGCGAAAACATTGTGATGACGCATATGCAAGTGAACAATGTCGTTAAAATAATCAACGTTGTTGTGAAGTTATTTATTTTTATATACCCTATATATAAACAAGACTCTTCGCATGGGCTTCTTTCGCGGTCAGTAATATTCACGAACACTACTTTATAAACTGGCTTGGCAATTCACACCACCAATTAGACAATGTCACGGCATTTCGGCTACTTTTCCAAGAAATCCAGAATCACTCGATAATTTTGTTTGCTTTATTTACATTTGACCTAAAATAAGCAAAATGATACAAGTTTTACAAGAACGGCAAAACACTCACCTACACGTAAAGAACGTCAGCGCTCGAACTCCTAGAGTTGCGAGAACACACAAACTGAGATCGATGAAGTTACGCGTACGCGTTCCCGTACACGTACAAATCTTAATCACTCTATTATGTATGTATTACTTTCTCACTGAGTTGATTATGTACTGAACCACATTTGTGTTCTGTGCATATTTGTTTTGTGTAAATACAATTTGTAATTCGTGTACACCGGGGATTGTGCTAACAAATTCGATCGGGATATAATACCTAAAGCCTCCAATGTATGCGCTGGTTTAAAGGGCGGCAGTCGTCGCGCCGCGTCCCGTTCGATATGGGACTCACAGCGACGTATACAACGCGTGTAAAATACATTGTTTATTTACATGAAATTCTAACACGCGCTGCGCGACGACCACCGCGCTTTAACCCCTGTTTATGTATATCTTTCAGATAGTGTACATACACAAAACTGCGTGCATGATTACATTGATATAGTTGTAGAAGGACAAGGTGTCGGTCGTTATTGTGGCGACAGTCTGAGGAAAGAATTGTTGATAATCGAGTCCAGTAAGGCTACCATACATATGTACACAGATGCAACCGTTGTTGATGTTGGTTTTACGTTGTACGTAGTAGAGAATTACCACCACCCTGCAACAGGTAACATAATCCTTGAAGATGTATGCCGAAGTTCGTGGTTGGAGGAATGTCATTATTCTATCAACACATATAGTTATGTAGGTGAATATTTGGCAAACATTGATCGGCAAAAAACATGGAAAATATGTGGGAAAACATGTTTTTTTTTTTTACAATATTCGACTTGCATATTTTAAATTGGGGTTATAATTTTTAGTATGCAGTGAAGCAAGGAAATTGGATTGCTCCACTGTATGACATACTTGTATTAACTACCACGAAAATAGCAGTAATCGCATCATAATTAATCGATATCCTAATTGATAATGGTGAATTGAAAACACAAACCAGGCGACTGACAACTAGTTAACAAATTCATGACAGAAAAACAAAAACTAACTGACAGATAAAGTATGTCGCATTTATGTATGTAATAATACATACATATAATAATAATGCGTTATGAACAAAAAAATATTGAATAAAGTTTGCATTGAAGCAAACATTCTCTTCAGAAAGGGAGTGTCGCATACGACTTATTTACCACTTCCGTGTCACTGAGAATGTTCTAGAACCGTACTGTGTCTGGGTGGAATATTCTATATTTTTTAGAAAATGGTTGAATAGGTAATAGAACACTGTAGGAGGCAATAGAAGGTAATGGAACATTTTAGAAATTTGTAGTAAGTTCCAGACTCATTATGTATGCTGATCTATTTATAGACAGTGGGGGTATATATAGGGGAGTTGTTCAGCACTGAGTTCAGATCGGAGATCTCGTTGAATTGTATTGGAGTTTAAGTAATTAGTTATTGGAGTAGTGGAGTTTTACCGCGTTATTGTACTTGATGTTTGCAGAGTATAATAATACCAGTACCAGTTGAAACCTCATCTGTTGGCTCCGTGATCGTATTTTATCATCGCCGCCAGGGAAGTCTTTCTGTTACTGTTGCCATTTTGGTATTTGAACCATCACTCCTGTACTATACGAATTACGGTAATATTACGTTGCGTGTGACAGGGAGCTTAATAATTATTTATAATATAATAATATACATTTACTCGCTTTCAGACCCTTGCCTTGCTGAGCACGAATGCTCGCACATATGTGTCAAAGACAACTATGGCTATCATTGTGCATGTCCAAACGGCTATTTCATCAGTGGGACGAATAAACATGTGTGTGAAAGTAAGTTTTAAATAATAATGATTGTTGAATATAATATTGCAAAATGTTGTTTTGAACCATAAGAATTCTAATTCCAATTTATTTTTATCGTTTTCCCCAAATATCAGGTATATGTCTGAGAATGTCTACCTCCTTTGCATATCCAAACTTAACGAATATGAACAAAGCATGCGTGTTTATATTGGAGGTCAGGAAAAACTGGCACGATGCCAAAGACGAATGTTCTCATCGTGGCAGCGACCTGTTCGATCCTCGAACTGTTAATGATATTGTAAGTGTGTTTGTAATTTCTTTATACGTTCTCACAAGTTATAGTTTGTGTGGTCATTGAAGTGTTAAATTTTATGTGATTGCAAAACGGAAAACTGAACAATAATAATAAATGATATCTCGAATATGCCACATACTAAAGGATTATGATTCTTTTTTAATAGGGTGATTGGATTGCTAATCAGACTGACATAAACGAGTTCTGGATTGGTGATACGACGAATGACGTCACAATATGTTCAATTTTATCCTTTTCTGGTGAACCTCTACTTTCAATCAAATCATGTGAAGAGAACTATGCGTCGTTGTGCTATTTACGTGAGTAGCGTTGGTCTGCACTCAAAACTGATTTGCGCAATAGTTGAATATTTTAAGTGAACGAATATACTTGATAACGACACTATATCTATGTAGAATGACATGTGTTCTCACGTGTCAACTAAACTGACTTTCCTACGATACAGTAGAATATCTGTTTCTAGATAGTATATTCCAAGTGAGCTAACCATTACAAACGCGTAATCGTAAAAACACTTTGAACAGACAAAGAGATTCTTGTTATCAGTTCACAGTCATTAATTACATGGAATGTCTGAAAATATTCGGAAAATTATAGTTAAACACAAGTAAGCAACAAAATAAATTCAGTGGTCCGAAAAAATAATATTTAAAAATTGTCCATACTTATTTTGTTTTCGGAAGCAATACTCTGAACGAACGTGCTTTAATTCTCTGATAGCTTACAAGTTGTATCAATTCAAATAAGTAAAGGGTAACCAGACTTGTTTTCTTAGCAACAACACCTTCAAAAAACAGGATAAAAACTGAGATTTTTTTGAGAAGTTTGAAATCGAAGCTGGATTATAGTACATATATGCTTCATTAAGCAAGAAAAGTTGTTTTTACAAATATTTTCTAATATCAAATACCTCTTATTTTGTGAATCAGAATAAAAACAATCTGGGACTTTTTATAGTCAATTATAAACAGACGTGTAATACGTTCTTAGAGATAACTATTATACTTAGAATCTAGAGATTATCGAACTTGTCAATCTGTTGTGTAATAATATGTGACAGTGCATCAATGACGTCTGATGCGTGACCTTTGTGTGACTGTCAGGAATACATTATTTATTGTATGATGTTTTGTCTTATTAGGTTATCAGAGGAGTTCGTGTGAAGGTCGTCGAACGTTGACCGCCCCTTTCGGTATAATAGAATCGTCAATATACTTTACGAATACATCTTGTAGTTGGTTAATACAAGGGCTTGAAGGAAGTCAACTGAGGTAACTTCAATAACTCAAATCATAGTAACAGTCATTTTGTGACGAGATTGTCAGATAACATAAACTATCAACTTATAGCACACTGTCTACTTTTGTCAAAAAGCGTTCAAACCGACCACATATTATTCTAATCAATTTTGCGAATCATAATTGTGCTCATACAAAAATATTCAATCAGTATTTGTCCGTTTGTCAGTTTAAAATGAACGTTTTATTCAACCCAACTAACCTGACCTTTTTAGTGCCAATGTTTCCCCTTGTTTAAATTTGGGTAAATTTGTTCACATTTCTTGTCATTTTCACTGAATTCATTCTTAAAGCTGGGGAGTCGTCACCTGCGCATGCGTCAGATGGCCATAGCGTGTAATTGTTTACAAACAAGCGTCTATTCACGAGCCTTTGCGTTCTTAACTTGCGTTGTTATTGTCGATTGGGACTCAATTCTCGCGCGTGCGCAAGTGACGGCCCTCCTGCTTTAATTTTGGGCCAAACAAACGAAGTGTGACATTGCTTCTAGTTTTAAAAAAAATGAAATTTTATATGGAAAAGAGCAATCTATAAATGCAAATATTTTGTAGGTGTGGACTAAAAAATAAACTTCAGCGCTCAATAATAAATGTTTCATCTTATTTAGATTACTGTTCACCAAACTCAAACTACGATGTGTATCGAGCACAGTGTGTGTTGATCACGTGACCGTATATGATGGTAACACTGACTCAAACATGATTGGTCAGTATTGTGGGATGCTCGACTACGAATTAGAAGTTGTGTCTACGTCATCCAATCTGTATATTGTGTTTGTCCCTGGTATGTTCGACGAAGACCTCCAGCATGGTGATTACGGTTTCCAGGCGCTTTATCAATTGACAGGTAATTCACCTTACAGATTCAATCCAAATTGATCCACATAAATTGCACCAGTGATGTAAAAAGCTCAAAGAAATCCATTAACTTCCAATTGTTGTTATATATTTTACCATTTTTTATTGGCATTTCATACTCACAGCATGTCAGCTTTGTCAGCTAAATTTTTAAGCGATTTCGATCTCGACGTACGAGTTCTGATCTTTCCAGTTGCTAGGATACCACGCGTGAGATAGTGTTAATTTTGTAGACGACGAGAAAGGGGGCTATTGAAAATAGTTTTTTGACTATGATGCATGGCAGACATAGAACTAACATGCGCATGCTCAGTGCAACCATTGTTTGTCTATCTAGGTCAGTTATACACTAAACATCGGAAATGTTTTTATTCGTGGATATCACACAATATTTGTTATGAATTGTTGTGAGAAAACATTCAAATATTCAAGTTTTCGACCATGTGACTTTGAGTAAACTTCGTTATTTGTCCCGTTTGGCGTTCTATTACAGATGATTCAGTTGGCGTGAGCACGTCGGGATGTGGCGGACCGGGTTACGTTACCGGAATGCGAGGAACAATAACATCTGGGGAATACCTCTCATACAGCCGTTGTCAGTGGACGATACTTGGAGAAGTAGGAAAGTTCATTTCTTTGAAATTCAGGAATTTTCACTTAGCAAAAACAGAAGGCAAGTGCATAGACACGGTGAGCATCTACTCCGGTTACCATAGTGATTACAGAGAGATGGCTGGTGAATTCTGTACCGAACAAGCTTTAACAATAATCATATCAGAACCAGTTGTTGTAATCAGACTCAAAAGTGTGAGGGCGCCCGTCAATAAGGATGAGAATAACAATCATGGACCTAATAATGACGAAGATGAAGAGGAGGAAGAAGATTTAGGACCTTATCGTTTTGATTTGGATTATGAAATTGTTGGTTAGTAACATGATACATATTTGAAAATGTTGTTTAATTATTAAATTATGCTATATAATATGTGTCGGTGTAAATAATGATTGTGAACGTACCTCTTTGTGCAGATTGTCCTGGTTGCGATCACGTCTTAACAGAATGTACTGACGTCATTTCCTGCGAGTCTGAACAATGTGGGATGATTGCATTCACCAATTATATCGAACAACTTCCGACGTCTTGGTATTTGATTGGTCCAAGGGGTAACTACGTCAAGATTACTATCCCGGCCGAACAATTCCAGGTTGAACCTCGTGATAACGGAGTTGGCTGCCAAACTGATATGCTGGAATTTCTGGACGGAGATTCAACCGGTGAAGTGATTGGACAGTTCTGCAACATCGACCCACCTCCCGATATAATTTTATCGAGCAAAAATAAAATGTTCATCCGTTTCTTCACCGAGTGGGAAGAATTTGATAAGACAATGTTCCTTTTGCAGTTTGAGTTTCTAGAATACCAGTCGAGTGGAAATCAGGGAGGTGGTGAAATACGCATAGGTGAGATTTTGTGATCTACCATATATGGTCATCTATTGTGTCACCTGCATGTCTTCACGTACATGTGTATTTTTCACATATAATGTAATTACTTTGTCAGGTGACTGCCCAGACAATGATTGGAGCTATTACAATGACAAATGCTATGTATTCATCCAAGAGGATAAACCGTTAACCTGGAACCAGGCCGAGCATCGCTGTGATCAACGAAATAAAGGCAGCCATCTTATTAGCATTGGGGACAGGAAAGAAATGATATTTATACATACAATGTTAACTACAAAATGGCTGAGTGAACTGCCGCAGATATACATAGGTATGCCAGACTGATTTGTCCACAACTTGTTATTATACGAGACATAGACTGATTTGTTCACAACTTGTTATTATACGAGACATAATAATCACGTCAAATGAATGAAACATTTTTACGTACAAACACGACAGAGACATCAATGAACGATCGTCAGCCTCAGCAAGTTGTATATGGTTTGTTTCTATTGAAATTTCAGGTATATCCGGGACATATAATTACAATAACATTTCTACAACTGTAACAACGCATTATACTGCTGAAACTAGCGCATTTATACGTAGGGTTTGAGCACACTCTCTCTATAGAATAATGTCCGTGACCTCTTGATGTATTAGCGCCATCCCACTACATCACATATATGACAAAAATATTTGTTATACTATTCTACACTATAGGATTGACAGATCGTGAACGAGAAGGAACATACAGATGGAGTGATGGCAGTCCACTTAGTTATGCTGACTGGTAAGTGCCGCTGTGTTTACAATGTATTGCCACTATACTTACATACATATATTGCAAAACAGTGTTTGATTTGATTTTGACACTAACACTTTTCAATATAGACACAGTCGTCGCAATGCGCGGTGTTCGATGTGGGTCTCATGCGACCTATGTACAACGCGTGTATGATACATTGTAAGCGTTGCGCGACGTTGCGATTTAAATAGAACAACGCGAAACGGGATGAGTTTGTAACCAAAGGGCGGTGGTCGCCGTGCCGCACATGTGCGACATTTGTGTCACATAGCGCGACGACCACCGGTCTTTAAAAACCGAAATTACTAAAGGGACAGTGATTTGTTTGATTTTGTGAAAAGGCACAATCACATGACCAATTTACGCAAGTAGTTAGTATAACTGGAAAATGTTTGCATAGTCCTTTCTCCTTTCTTCTTATACGCCATGGTTTACATAATTATACTCTTTCTTCCAATATCGTCGCATAGTGCAGCTATTTAGTCTCTCAAATAACAAGTGAGAAAGCACCAACACAACACCATTCTACGCAAGTTATTTTCTACATCAAGAAAATGTCCGTATATTCCTCCCCTTCTTCTCATACGTCTAGTTTGTTTGTCTTTTATTTCCAACATGTCCACGATATATATCCATTATATTAATCGTAATGTCTTAAATAAACATGGAAATTAGCGTTTCTTCATCGATATACCTCTTCTCAGGGGCCTGAACGAGTACGGTACACAACAGCCATCGGGTGGTAGTTATGAAAACTGTGCCATGATAGATTTATCCAATTACTATTCAACAAGTCACTGGCAAGATGTACCTTGTGCTTCAGATAAGCTATCTCAATATATATGTAAAACCGAAGCGAATATACAGGAAGGTATGTAGTTTATAAGTTTATAAGACGGGAACATGTGTGTAGTATTGTTGTTTGATACTATATGAAAACGCTGTTTCTGTAGCACACATATAAGTTCGACATCTAACAATGATTTTTTTTACCTCCATGATCACACTAATCGCGATTCTGCGCTTACGTCATGATTGTTTACAGATTATGACGTCACACATGAGACCACAACTTTATCTCTGGTTAACAAAGGTAAGCTTATTGTTTCAAAATCAGTTCAACATTACTCAAGATCACATTTAGTTCACGTGACCTTTTCATAATCATTTGTTGAATATTCACCGTTCCCAGAATAAAATAGGTGATGAATCGCGCGTGATTGTGACGTCAGGAATGCTATATGTTGATAACATGAAGATTATGAATTATGAATAGATAATCGACGACCGACAAATAAGTCATATGGCAAAATGTTGTTTTAAAATTGTTCATATACTTTGATATGCTTAGCTGTACTATTTCTGTCAATACATTCTTAATCATTGAAACTTTCCCTTTTATTATTATAAATATTTATAAATTCCAATGGCAACTGAACCCAATCAGCCAGTCAAACAGCACAGCGATGTATGCTAGCACTGCAAACTGCTAACATTTACTATTATATTTATAAGCAAACTTTCTAACTCAATATGGTAGCGATGTAGTATGGGTAATGGAAATGCACCAACCTGTTCTGTCTTTCTTACAACAGAGTGTGAAGAATATTGGTATTTATTTGGCGAGTTATGTTACCGTCTTTATATGTCACCAGACACGGTATCGCTGAAAAATAGTCGTACAATTTGCGAAGAAAATGGCGGGGGCATTGCAATAATGACAACACAACAGCTTAAAGACTTCACAGTGTTCAACATAGAATACGTGTGGACTTCAGAGAAATTACGTCCGCGATTCATTGTAATCGAGACGATGCCAGAAGATATTAATACTGATGAGGACAATTGTCAAAGCTGCTCAGGAGGCAATGTTATTTGTATCATGATGGATGAGAAACATAACTGGGAAAGAATACCTTGTACCAATGATGGGCTCGGAGAGGGAGTTGGTGTGATTTGTGAGAAAGCTACGAGAGGTAAACGTGACTACAAACTCGTATATGCTCTTACGTGGTCCATATTGCACAATGGACTATTTTTCGTTCTCCGCGAGATTCCGTGTTATGCGTAAAATGCAACATATAAACAGGACAAACAAAAGTCATAGCGTCGCAGCGACGTCAATTCAAAATCTTTCGATTTTTGTGGCAGACGTTCGGTCCGCGACTTTCACACATCACGCGAGATCTCGCAGTGCATGTTAAAGTACTTATTGAACTCGTGCGATTCATCCAAAATAAAATAAAAACTTATTTTTTTATATAAAACATACATGCTATACACATTACTACCACATACTAAATATAAATTATGTAAGTTTAACATGTGTGGTGTATGCTACATCCAGGAACATTTATACATCTATGGTTACATTTTAACTTGTAATATGCTAACCCCCATCTCAGACAACTAATAGTTTATTAGTTGTCTGAACTCACATTGACCACGATTATTGTGGCGAGAGAATATCAATTAATTAATTTATTTATTTATTGGGACCTATAAGTTTTATATAAAAAATCCTTTACCATAATTGATAATGCAAATATGCGGAATATTTGTTTGCATCTGAATTCAAGCCCAACCCATAGAGGGACTGTTGTGTCAATATGTTTATATATATGCAAATTCGGCTGATAATTGGTCAGTAATCATGGCCAGCTATTGACCTGGCGTTATGTAAAGCCGTACATAAAAGCGACAAAACCCAACATCTGCGTTTAATGTACTAGTGTACATGGAATCTACATATATGTGACAGTATAGTAACGATCAAATATGGCTTCAAATATTTGAAGTAATTAAACTGCTAGTGTATACTAGTATATATTCAAAAAATGTTTACGTTATGTAGTGCTCAGTATATAAATATTCAAACCAATCATTTATTTTGATAGATCACGTGTACGTAGATTGTGGTGAGGAATATCATCAGTGTAACAATGGAGAGTGCATTTTACCAATGATGTCATGTGATGGTCACATGGATTGCAGGGACCAATCAGACGAGATGAACTGCGGTAGGTTTTCGGTACATTTGCCTAAAGGGCTTTAGTATGTCGTGTCCGTTCACTCTGGATCTAGACATAGAATTAGCATTTAAAGAAATAAAAAATATAATGTTAATTGTCGGCAATATTGATGCCGCTATCGTAATAGATACTGCATCGGCCTCACGATCGTATAACCCTAATTATAAGCTTACCTGAGTGTACCATAGACTCAATAGGAAGGTCGATTGATAACCTCTTGCCGAGATTAATAAACTACCGGATGTTACTTTGGTCCAGGTGTGCAGGTAGTTGTTTGTGATCAATTGGGCTAAGTTGATCTAAACGAATGTATTTGCAATAATGTTATTATGATAGAATAATGTCCGAAACATGGCGCGAAAAATATAGGATAGATCAAGGTGACAAAGTATGAATTACTGTTAAACAAATTTGGTAGTTTATGTATGTAAAGTTGAAGTGTACTACTTGTACCAAAGAGTGAATCTCTAATGACTATGTATAATATGAATGGAGCTGGCGCCCGAACGACACCATTTGATTACAAAATATATATATACAAGAAAATAGCTTTGGTAGACACCGAGTAAGCATATACAACATGATGACGTCACGCACGTAGAATATGCTTCATGTGACAAAATGTAAAAATGTCTATGAAAAAATCTCAACTAACGGAATAATTTAACTGTCTATAAACACAAATATTTTCAGGTGACAAATGCTCCAATACGAGTTTTACATGTGATAATGGACAGTGTATATCTATGTCGTTTTATTGTGATTTCACTAAACATTGCGAAGATGGGTCAGATGAAAGTTATTGTAGTAAGTATACATTACATTACATTGTATCACGCGATAAATGTATACAATGTGCACCGTACTAACATTACACATAACATATCATTTTACGATCGCAGTCAGGTAAGTTGAGCGCATCACGTCGTCTCGGTAAAATGTGAAACAGGGAGGGTTGAAATATGGCTCGAAAAAATACTTATACTGATTTTAGACGACGTTTCCCCTTTAACTCCCAGCCTTGCAATTTCCCCATATTCTTGATTATGATAATGTGTATTATTTATTATTAAAAATCAGTCGTGAATTATTGAAGTGAAAGAAGAAAACAGTCCCAAAATAATTACGATTTTGCAAAGAGTCATTACAACATATGGTGAAATCAGTCATTGATATGCCCCGTCAAATTCCTAGATGGAATTCGTAATGTGCAATTTTATTACATAGAAGCTAGAAGGTAATATAATAATACAGATGTTGATTTAACATCTTGCTGTAGCGTTATTAAATCGCTCAAAATTACGTTTTTCGAAGTACCCTATAATTACCTTTTAGAATATTTTATACAAACAACATTTTAAAGCATTTATTTTTTAGCGTTTTAATCAAACGTCACGGTATCATGATTTGTGATGCTTTTTTTCTGAATACGTCGTAATTATGTTTTGGCAGATGCTATAATAGTAACAATAAAGCGTTATTATAAAAATATTATACAATGGAAAAACTTTATTTACATTATGTATCAATATGAGGTTTTAAGAATACGTTCTTCCAATATCGATATCATTATTTCTGGCATAATGAGATTTCATTTGATAACTACGTTAATCAGATGTTTACTAACTAGGTTATTGTGTAATTTGGGAATGCTATCTATATGGCAAACACATATAGAATCTGCATCTCTAAGAATATCCTTGGGCGGACATCCGGGCATTTTCATCGCCTGGCGACCATCACGGTGAAAACCGGCAAAGGCCGAAAACTTCGGATAGTTGATGAGACTCTACTGAACAGTGTAACAAGATTACCCCTAAATGTACATCATATATACATTCTGTTGCTCAGGATTACTTCGAAGTTGAGTTTGTGCTGCTTTCTCGGCTTCAGCTGTTTTCACCGGCTATTCGACCGGCGTTCCACAGCAGCTCGCGCAGAGCCCATTGCAATGCATGTTAAAGTAGTGCGCACCTTAGCAACGTAGAACGTACATATTTAGTATAGCATTCTGCAACTGCATTGCATTTCAATAACCGCATAAAAGACCGTATATATATATATATATATATATATATATATATATATGTGTGTGTATGCCACAGTCAGTTATTTTTCTATTTTAAAGCATACCCATTGTGTGGAGCTGACCAGTTTACTTGCCAGAATGGCGAATGTCTCAATCAGACTAAAGTGTGTGACCTTTACCAAGACTGCATAGATGGGTCGGACGAAGATGATGCAGTATGTACCATAACAGGTGCGTTAAAAATTACAGGGTTGAATTTATTTTTCATAATCTTGCTTCACTTGTACTTTGATAAAAGATGCAACTAGATTGTCATGTTCCAGTTACAATGAATACAAACCGATAATTCAACATAGACCAATGATTGACAAAAATGAGAATGAAACAAAAGCATAAATGTCGTCAATACACAATTTATCATATATATAAACTTGCTAAATCTCCACATGCAGATTGTCAAGGATTCCGTTGTTATGACGACCAGTGTATTCCATCATTTGCTGTATGTGATGGCATGATTGATTGCCAAGGTACAGTTGGTGAAGACGAAGACCAGGGCTGTGGTAAGCGATGTATGATACTAGGATCTTCAATGCACTAGTAGTCTTTAATAAAATAATATGTAATAACATAATATGGTTGTCGATCGCCCACCCCTACACAAAAAGGAGAATGTAAACACAATCATATACCGTACAAGTGATAAGTAATGAATGCGATTGACTTACTGATATATACTATATGGGACAGTCGTCTTGAATGAGGCTTGAAAAACGTTTCAAATGCCCCAGTGAATTGTTTGTTTTAAACACCCCGGGGAAAGCGTTCTCCGTGTATTTAGGTGTTCGTGCAAGGAATTGTTTTTACAGGAAAACGAAGGCCGAATTTAATGCTGAATCACTCGTAGTTGTTCGGTAGGCAAGATAAATTAGGACAGTAAATAAACAGTATATATCTACTTATTACCTAATACATTTTGTATTGCTGATTCGTCTTAAGTTATTATGTTATAGGTGTCTGGGTCAAGTAATACGTGACAATTCTAGTTGTAACAAGCATTTGAAATTAACATATTTATGCAGTCTGTTGAACTGTTAGCTTGCTGCTGACCATTCCTGTATCTCACTTGCAATATTTTAACATAGAGTCTCACGGCGAAGAATAACCTGCTTCTGAATTAATTAATAAATCTTCGAAAATATAGATACCACTTATTTAATTTGACTTCATTATCACACTGCACTTCATCCGCCATATGCTGTATTACTATCATTTTACAGAAATATCACTGTGTAATAATATCACTGATCTTCGATGTGCAAATCAACACTGTACAGATAGAAAGCATTTATGTATCAATGATTACAACGATATAAAGTCACGTGACTATCAGGTTGGATGCCGGGATGTCACCCATCTTCGATACTGTGGTGAGTTTATCACATGTACTTTAAAACTGATATTTTAAAAATTCGCGTTTCAGTTTTCAATTATTATATCGTTAACAGGTTTATACATTATGCAAGTACACTGGGATTGATAGGCAATGTTATCATTTCAATAAAATACAATAACAAAAACGACCAAACAAACACATAAGAAAAGCTAATATTCATGTTCTATATAATATTGTAAACAACGTATATTATTCCCGACCATCACCACACACAATGCAGTAAAGCCACAAATATAAAAATATGATTTGGACTAATGCATGGATTGAAAATCGAAATCCTATCTGCACAGAGAATTTTTTTTGAGAAATACAATTCTTTGGGGGAAATTAAAAACATGTACTCATAAGCAATTTAACAAATGCATAAACAGGATAGCAAAACAAAATGTACGGCAGCTAGGCGAACTGTAGTTATATATCTCCCTGTCATTATTAGACTATCTAATTATCAAACCATTAATTTACATATAGACGAGGAACTTTTACTAAACGTGGTTTTCTTCGACAGATGCCTTTTCGTGTCCGTTGAATACACTGAAATGTCCGAATTCTTACTGTATACCCCTGCGTTTACGATGTAATGGAGTTGCGGACTGTCCGCGTGGAGAAGACGAATTAGATTGCGGTGAGTGGAAACATTGTTTGATATTTATTTTTCCGCAGTTTACACCATTATGACGTGAGATTACATACATAACCGAAAGATTTACTTTGGCGACGACAGTTTTCTCTATTGAGGCATTCGAAACTCGAGACCGAAATATGTCTCAGTCTCAAAATGTCGCAATGCAATGTGCAACACGGATATGGGAAAGAAGGATGTAAATATGATGTAAGCAACAGGTGCATTTAGGCTATTCCTCAAATGTGGTTCTTAGTAAAAGGTTAGTGTTCCTAATCACAGAAAGTGGCATATCACATTTGACCTTGTAGCATTAATTTTCTTTTTCAGACTCGTTCACGTGCCCTGGGGCTTATAAATGCTTCGATGTGGACTATTGTGTACCACTATTACAGAGATGTGATGGAATACAGCAATGCAAATATGGGGACGATGAACAGTTCTGTGGTAATAATTATGTGTTAAATTTATATGAACGATCAAACGTCTTCATCGTCGTTAATCGTTCTGATTACTGCATGTCAATGTTTTTTTCCAATCCTATGCTAGCACATTAAGTCTTAATTCCCATCCACTGACTTCCATTTTTCTCTTCACATCTCTTTATACTATTCCCTGTTCTTTATACTATTCCCTGTTCTCATGTCGCTTGTTTTTCCTGTTCTGTTCTTCCATATTATTAAAACTGACATTTTGTTCTTTGTCCAATTCTTCATGTTTCTTATTGGTATGTATTGAGCATAGCTCTGTCCTAGATTCTTCGTGTGATAATATACTGTTTACGTATTAAGTTATTAAGATGATTTCTATCATTGTCATTATAGATATTACCTGTCCAGATGAATGTGAATGTCAAGGGTTTGTTGTGATCTGTCACATTAGCTATGGCTCGACTATACCACATAATATTCCAGACAATGTCAGAAAACTGTAAGTGTAAATCGTCATGTTCAACGGATAAGACTGTACTTTACATTATTTTATTATGACGATTGTCCCATTTGAAGCAGGATCGGCTCTTTTGAAACATCTGACATCACCTTTGTGTTGTATACCTCGGGGTATCATTATTTCACTGATTTGACAATGTTTTGTAATGTTTGTTTTATAGTTGTCACGTGTTTATTGTATTTTCCCAATGCGACTTTTGATCTAGAGTTGGGTTTATCATGATTTCACATTCTACAATATCAGAGGATACATCAGTTAGCCATGGCACATTTATATGGCGTTAACATTCAGTTAATATAATGTTCGCGACACACAACTGATGAAAGGCATGAACTTAAACGACACAGCTCTTCCGAATATTATTTTGATATGTGCTTTTATATAATTATACATATTTTGATATTTTCGTTGTAGGGCTATCGGCGATATGATGTCTCGAAGAAAAAGTGGAGTAAAAACTGTTGCCAATGTGACATATATTACATTAAGACACGGCGATTTTATGAACTATCACTTTCTTGGTGAATTGTAAGTTTGATATCAAATTATATTTGTACGTTGTGTGAATGGTTTTCTATGAATTATGTGTTCAATATAGCAAATATATGTTAGATATTTCCCAATCAGAATCTGAATTGTTCCGCAGAACGGGGACATTTGCATAACAGAGTGAGAAGTTTACATCGATATCAATTATGTTTGATTAATCAGTGGGCGTGTTTTTCATATAATGAAATGTGTGAATGTATAGTCTGACTTTTTATTATAATATTCTAAATATGTAGTATATTTGATTTTTTACTCACAGGGATATGTCACATACTGGTATTGAGTATATACCAGCTGGGATATTCTCAAATTTAAGTAATTTGTATCATCTGTAAGTAACACTGTATTTATATCATGTCTAGTATTTTTGATACACCAATATGTTCATGGTAAATAGATAAAACAAGGCATATACATTGTGTATAGATTAGTTAAATTCACAACAAATTGCACTAAACTAGCATGTGTTTTCAACGAACATTGTTCTTTCGCTTATAAATTACCTTGAGTTGTTGTGGGAGTCATAACGTCAGTGGTGAACGAAAGCATTGAGTAGTGATTTTCAGGTGTACATGTTGTAATCACCAGAACAGGAAGAAACATTATTTTTATTTTACATTAATTTATGATTTGTTTTCGCAGAGATGTAAGCCATAATAATATCGAGATTATATATAGTTATACATTTACTGGGTTACATCAACTAAAATCACTGTAAGTATAGATCATTTAATATTTTAAACAATGTGTACGTAAAGACGGCTCATAACTTTCACTCATGAAACAGGAACATTGAATGTTATTTGTGGCTTCATTATATCACTGATACAATTTACTAACTTCACTATCACGTCTCGTAAGTTCGTGATACATAATGTTGATAATTTTAGATGCATTAGTATTTATATGATATATTTGCAGGCGTTTGCGTGGAAATCCGCTAAAGGTAATTGAAGACGTTGCTTTTGTCGGACTTGACAATCTACCAATTCTGTAAGTGTGTCTGTATATTTGGATAATGTATTATATAATTGTATTTAATTGGATATACGCGATTTTATATGAATAGTGTTATGTATCAATACTTATTATAAAGGGACATTGTTGAAGTTCCCTACTTTCACGATAATGTAAATATAAAACGTGAACATATACTATTATAATGTTATATTTATCCGACATTGCAATTATCTTTTTAACTATCGCATATCATGATAGTATGAGTTTATCACGTGATATCACTCAGAGGTTCACGTGAATGGCATCAATGGCTTGTATTATCTGCGAACCAATGCCACTAGTTAGTTAATTGATTTTAATTAGTAGAAATCGTAATGTTACCAACACAACGTTAACTACCATTGAAAAAGTATAACTATAAGTTTAAGAATGTATTTTTTACAGTGATCTAGGGAGTCTTCAGTTACAAACCTTAACAAACAACGTATTTATTGGACTCGATGCTCTGAGGATACTGTAAGTAATAATTAAATACATGTGTCTTTCTACGTATCTGGCAATGTTGAGTGTATACGTCTTTTCTAGTATAACAATGATCTTCGGAATAATTTGTTGTTCCTAGGTGTGAATCTCTGTCAATCAGTTTCAACGTTAAGTAAATACAAAATAATGACAATTATAAATGCGATGATTATAATAATATATATGTTATTTGTGTTATTTCGAATCATAATAATATTACTTTCAATCATTAACGATGTCTTTTTTTCAGTAATATTTCCGATAATAATATTGTGGTTGGAGAAGAGTCGAATTTCTTTTATCTTCTCGACAATATGAACACACTGTAAGTCCAACATTTTCATATCATTTTACACTTATGCTTTTGTATTAAATCATTTAAATCTGCTCTTTAATTTGAAAATTTAATATTAATTACAAGTTAAGGCCTCTTCACTGCAAACGAGAACGCGCTAACCATTCAATTGTACTAACTGACCAACAAATATTTCTATTTCAATACATTATAAATGGCATAAATGGTTGAAGAAAATCGACAGCTATGTTTGATTATCTTATCGTTTATCATTTTGAATTGAGTAAAATCTCTCGAATTTTTTTTATTGATGAACGACTGCATATCAAAATTATTCAGACGCTTAGAACGGCTTACGTCTTAGAATTTTCTCGTAATTAAACGGCGCGATTTAAATGAAATGCGTGTTAACGGGGAATAGTTCGAAATGTCATTTTAATATTTCAATTATTATATTATCAAAACTATATATTCGTCTCAAATTGAAATCCACTAATCATTATTGTTGTTATGACCAAAATTAATTTATAATTTCCAAATATTAGTGTGTGAATTGTTCGTAAGTTTCCTTCTTGTAAGTGCCTAGTACATCGCAAGGATAAAATATACTGATGTGTGAATATATTATAATATTTTCAGATACTCAGATAAATACTCGTTTTGTTGCCTTGCCAACCGGAAGCAGGCAAACACGCCACTTTTAGAATGCACTCCACCCCCTGACGAGTTCTCGTCTTGTAGAGATCTGATGGCGAATTCTGTGCTCCGTAGCTGTATGTGGATATTGGGATTTTCTGCGCTCATTGGCAATCTGTTTGTAATAATATGGAGACTAAAGTCAAAAGAAGCGAACCAAGTTCACGCATTTCTCATCCTGAATTTAGGATTTGCCGATTTCCTAATGGGGGTGTATATGATTATTATAGCGTCTGTTGATATGTATTACCGTGGTATCTACATTGTGTATGACGAAATGTGGCGGCATAGCGCCCTCTGTCAAACCGCCGGCTTTCTTTCTACGGTATCCAGTGAAGTTTCTGTGTTCACGCTGACCGTCATCACTGCGGATCGCTTCTTTTCTCTGGTGTTTCCGCTGCGTATTCGACGTCTGACTGCAAAACGAGCAAAGATAATCTGTACAATAGGTTGGGTGATTATCATAACCGCTGCTTTTATACCAATTACACCCATCCCTTATTTTAACGGTGAATTCTACGCACGGGCAGGAGTATGTCTCTCACTTCAACTTACTCACAAAAAGCCACCAGGATGGCAATACTCCGTGACAATTTTTCAAATCATTAATCTTGTGTCCTTTATATTCATTTTCATCGCTTATATAATTATATTCAACGTCATAAAACAATCGACAAGAGCTGTTGGCAATAAACAAAAGAAAGCCGAAATAACAATGGCTCGAAGGATGATAGTGATTGTGATGACAGACTTCTGCTGTTGGATACCCATTATTATTCTGGGAATACTGGGCTTATCAGGAGTTCATATTCCCAGTGAGGTGTTTGCATGGACGGCTGTGTTCATACTGCCATTAAACTCTGCTATGAACCCACTATTATATACCATATCATCACTGAACACAAAGACTGTGAAAGAAAGACTATTAGTGCCAAGTAAATCTAGAATTGTTGCCAGCAATATTTCTTCGGATATATACAAGTCGTCAGATGAGTTTGGTAAGTCTGTACACGTTACCCACAATGCATGATCATAATCACATGAAATGCAATACTGTCTGAAAATCACGTGACCTTCGCGAGATTACGAAACTTATGTTTAGTAATTTGTTTAGCCTGACATGTAGGCATGAATGATGTCGAACGGCATCAGACCCCACTTGGGTTTGGAGCACCGCGGAGGGCGCATCTCACGCGACCTTGTCAGGCTATGATTTGTTATACGATTCTGAATATTGATACATACACAACGTTCAGTTTTTATTTAATGGTTACATAATTATTATGTGGGATTACGTAATATAGTTTTCAGTACAGATTAAGACACTTGACTGTGAGTCTACCTGAACCACTCACCTCACAGGTTGTAAGAGACGTGCGTCGTTATTTTGAAGTTCGTGTTATAGATTTAGTTGCAGTTTTTCTGCATTTTCTGACACAAAAATTAAATCAGTTGTTATAATTATACAATATCGGATTGTACACAACGTTTGAGGCGTGGGTTTGGCAGTACTTTTTGAAAAACTTTTTCATCCGGTTGAGTATGCACAAATAATCCCTCGGAATATCAAGAAAAAAAAAGACGGAAGAGTTATCCAACAAGCACCGAATAATCACTACCGCACATCGATATTCAGAATATTGAGAAAGTGGTTCATGTACGTTTTTCCTTTTTCCACAGATCAAGTGTCAATATTCCAAATAGCGAAAGATCAACTGGGTAGTAATTTTATCCCTTTCGCGCCTCATAAGAAAAAACAAACAGTATCTCTTGATCGTTATCTGAAATCATGTGACCAAAATGTTGCATCTATATGGAAGATAAGTCGAGACATCGCGATGGCATTACAGTATTTACAGGAAAATAAGATAGTTCATAAGAATGTTAACGAAGTGCACGTACTAGTGGAAGTAGGGTCAAAGGTAAAATCGAATGTGTTATGTTGTACATGTGATCTGTCAATCGATGATGGAGCATACTTCAATAGGTGATTGCCGTTCAACTGCGAGATCTCGCGAATTGCGTGAAAGACGCTCGCCGAACTTCTGCCGCAAAAATCGAACGATTTGATTTTAATCTCGAATTTCTTTATTTCGTAGCTCACATCGAAAGGCCCATCTTTGACAGACGAATAATGTGTTTGACGATGCTATGACCTTTGTTTGTCCTGTTTTTACGTTCGATTTCACGCATAACGCGGGATCTCGCAGTGAACGGAAAATCTTCTAGTTCATCTAGTTGCATATCTTTATATGAATACGTTATAATTGTTTCCAATTTTAATATAAGAGTTTCGAGTTTACGGGCGTGCTCTCTTAGAGGGGTGGGATGCAACTTGTCGTCGGAAGTCAGTTTACCTCCATGCTTCCCCCAGAAATAGCTTACAAAATGTACGTACGGTTACCAAAATGTTATATATAATATGTAGCAGTGCCGGTTACTGGTAGCATATTAGTACCGTTGTTGCTTCAGATTCATGATCGGTAGACCTTAGGCTGAACACCGAAAATGATTTGCAGTGCGTCCGATTATTGACGATTACTGCTTAAAGCGGGATGGTCGTCACTTGCGGGAATTGAGTCCCAAGCGATGATAACAACTCACGCTAAGAACGCAAAGGCTCATGGATAGACGCTTGTCCGTAAACAATGACACGCTATGGACACCTGACGCATGCGTAGGTGGCGACTCCCCCGCTTTAACTTTAACATTTTGGCCAGTGCTGTCTGAATGATGTATGCTTTTCCATTGCAGGGCATTGTTTTAAATGCATATTTAACAGATCTGGCAGAAGCCCGAGAAGTGCGAAACGCAAAGACAAAGGTGTCATTTCTGGGCGATGTTCTGGATTATGGACATTTACTTGAAAAAATGCTGGAAGCTTGTGAGAAGGAATAAGTGATCGGAGACAGAGTCATGGCTATGAATTTGAAAGTCAAGTTTATCTATTACGCTATTGGCGAATAAAGCACACACGAATGACCATGTGACTTATATGCGTGTGTTTAGTAAATCAGTCGACGAGAATTCCTTTGTAACATAACTATGTAAGAATGAACTGTAATGTGTCACACTGACTGTAATCACAGAAAAGTGATTTTCAATACACTGACAATTAGCCTGAGGATTTTAAACCGTAAATGAACTTTTGAATTAATAATTAACGAGATATATGCAAATTATTATTATTTGTTTAACGAGCCCAAGTGACATATCAATCATTATCATCTACATGTATACTTATTTTACCAAAATATTTAATTAGCAGCAAGGCAGTTTTATTTTACATATACATGCATGTGGCTTACTGTGAGTGCAACAAAATGAACCAAAAACAGATCTGCCAAATTATTTGTATATTAGACATAAGCACTGTGTAATATAGTACCAGAGTATGGCCAACCAACTTTAATATGCGCTTATTTTGTTTACCAATATTTCTAAGATATTAAGCTGTCCTTTAAGTATCAGGAAATACATAACAAAATTGGATTGTATTTTTTGAAAACTATAAAAATATGAAATTGTCGTGCCGACTTCTTCAGACATTTTGTCATGATCAGTACAGTTACCTTGTCTTCCACATCGTCAGTACAAGATGACATTTCCGACATGATATTCACCACGAGCACAGTTAGGGACTTTGTTCTCGAGAAACAAAATGGACTGACGATAAGATTCCGCAATCTGTATTTTCTGAATTTGTATTGTTATTGTTTTTCAACTATAAAAGCAAAACGTTTGCTTCTCTGGTTTCTGTACTGAGTCTAGCCTACTGTAAAACGTGTCTTTTTAGCTGTTATCTTTTTATTTTGTTTTTACCTGAGAAACTGTGTGCGAGCGTAACTGTTGGTAACAAAATCGATTAATTACATAATTTAATATGACTTGTTGCCATGACAACAATCTAAATTGCTTAAAAATCCATAATATCCATACTGATTTTAAAATTGTGACTCCAGTTAATACATCTTTCACGAATATGGCATTCAGATTTGAATAATTAAATAGACACGTCACAAGAAAATTGTCGGCATTAAAGTTCTGTGATTGACTACTTTAGTGGAGATTGTTTTAAAATATTTGCATAATGATACATGGTGACAACAGACCGGTTATTGCAATAAAAAATGTATTTCACATTTTTCCATAATTATTTCCTTTATTTGATAATGCATGAATTGATGGTGTTCACTGGTCAAGACAATGATCGGTTTGCCCTGAAAAGTCTGCATGTAGCAATGATATCAATCAATCTATATTTTGGAGTTTTAGATTAAATAATGTTACTAAATTGAAATTCATATTTGATGAAGACCCATTGGCTATTAGATGTAGTTTAACAAGGTTTTGGATCAGAGATACACGTATGCAGAAATTACAAGCTTTGTTTAGCTGACGACATTGGAAACGTCTATATCCATTATCTTTTTTTTTTTTTTACACACTAACTCCACAAAATCCACGATGAGAAAGATTACAAATTGTTGAGATGTCATTGCAGTCAAATGCGTAGTTTGGGACTCATATCAAACGTGCGTAATTGTGTAAACTTCGACATTGAAATGTGTCTTTATGATTGCGACGTTCAACTTCAACTATGGCAATGACGGCTTTACTTTGTAGAATACTGTGTGTTCTATTCAATTCATTAAACGCTTGTATGTGCAGCCAATACTGAACGCCGAAATATAAAACAGCCGTCCGCAATTTACTTGTATTGCTGGTATAGTCGTTGAACCAACAAGAACAATACTCCTGAATCTAACGCCCTCTATTTTGAACAAAAGAATTACATGATTTCAACTTAGGAGGGCGCTATTCCCATCTAGAGTGAATATTATGGCAAGTTCAGCAATATTTGAAAGGTAAGGCAGAAATATATCCAAATTTATAGTCAAAAAATTACAAATCGAACACAAAACAATTTACTAACAGCAAGGAATTACAGACATAGTCAAATCGGTAAAGAGAAAATTATGAAGTGACATCAGTTTATTTGAATAGAGCGAGTACATCCTGCTCCATGTGTGCCCCCCCCCCCCAATGTTGGTATTCCTAGAATGGCTAAGGGGTAAACCAACATGAGACCTTTTAGATGTGAATATTCATGTCATACCTATCCAAATGCAATGCATTTTTGAGAGACCCTGGGGACGATGGTTGGGGGGGGGGGGTTATTACCATAGGCTGGTGTCTCAATGTAAACAAAAATTACAAAATGTATTGACATTAACACAAAACTGCAAATGCAAAGAAACAGGAGATGATACATTTCTACCTTGTTACCATGGAAACAACACTAATTACATGCAAAAACATATTTGTTTGATGCAGCGCCCATCTATAATCCTGCTTATTAGTTGAATTGCAACCATCGAAATTTGGAGAATTCCTTAATTTCTTTGGTTTGCACATAGCCCCTAGACTTGTTGACTTCTGAAGTGTTTACCGATCACAAAATTGTGCCATTTTTGATTCACGAAAATGTTGTCATTCTCAGATTTTTCTTCTTGATTGTATGCTTCAGCAGTAATTTAGGCTTTAAATGATTAGAACAAAACAGTACACAGTTAGGGACAGTGGAGGAAACAAACATCTCACAAACAATCATGTAGACTGCTGTGAAACACTTTATTTTAGCTGGAATTAATTTTTGCTGAAAAGACTTTTTGGGTGTTTTGTATGAAATTAATTTTTATTTTCACTGAATTATTCCTTCAGCGAAAATAAAGTATTTTACAGTACCAGGTATATCCTACACACAAACCCGCTATTCTCAAAGTTATTCACCATTGTTATTCCTATGGTTTGCTATGGTGTATATATGTAAACTTAAACTTTGTTTTATCATGAGCGACTGTTTCAAAACACCATAAATTTTGTACAAAGCCAAGATCTGTTGTGACCTTTGACCTGTTTATCCTTTGACCTGATAGAGCAATAATGCCATTAACGAATCACAAAGCTGACACTCGGCACCATATTTAGATGTTGTAATATGATATGCTCCCTTTGAGCTGGATTGCACAGCTTGGTGGTTCAAATGGCACTATTGTACAATCCGCTTCCTTGTGCACTCAGGTAATGGCGATTCAATACTAAGTGGGCACAAAATGTATGGCAGTCCTGCAGCAACATGCTTTTCAAACAGCTCAGAAATACTGCAACTATTTATGTATGTGGTATGAAAGAAGTCAGTTATGGTAGAATATTAAATTTATTGCATTTCCACCGTCTATTATCTTAATTAGAATTTATGATTTCCTAAACACGGATGATTTTGGGTTTACACAAAGACATAGAACACTTTCCGGGGTATCTGAAACCGAAATTGTCATCTAACTGTAAGGCCATCCCTGATTGGCTGCTGAGTTGGAATGACAAACACCCCAGGAAAGTGTTCTATGGTGTTCGTAGCTAGTGATTTTTTCCACACCAACAAAATTTGAATTCGACCATTCGAATATGATCCTCAATGGATTGTTTGGCTGTGAAAGATTGGCATTTTTTGTCCTGATATGTAGGAATCTGAAAAACACGTTTCACAACTTGTCTTTAGTTAGTTTCATGTCGTATTCAAGATGGCGGCCTCCATATAGTAATTATTGTATTTATTTTACTATCAATTGTGCGCCAGCTGACTGTGTTTGTATCCTACAACATTGATACACTCTGGGGCATTAAAATTATTAGTTATGTAGTTTATTGATTTTACTACATGCACTTGTAATCTAAATCAAGATATGAAAACAACAAAGCAGAGGAGAGAAACAAACACATGTACAAATGTTCTGCTTGCAACCGAGGTGTTGTAACTTTGCACGTATATTTCGGCGTTTCAAGATTTATTCGTGTAGTTTCGTGTTCGCGGCAACGTTGATGTATGAAAAAGCATATAATTCGACAAAATTTTGAAAAAACTAAATACAGACGCAGATATGTATTGTACGCCCAATCATGTTTTCACGAGCAAACAGCTACTCTGGGGCATTAAAATTACAAGTCAGGTTTTTATATATTTTTCTTTTCTAATATGGGATGTCCGAACTTTTCTACTTTACATCCTGCAATAATGAATTAATAATACTGGGTAGGCAACTGAAGCAACAATGTACAAGTAGCAGTCGACCAACTGCTTTAGAACCAGCTGGGCAATGGATGTGTAACATTGTCATCATTGTCTTTAGAACCATTTATGGAGTGGCATCTGAGTGAGAACTTGGTTGTCCTCAAAACGTGTTCTGGGAACACTTAGTTTTTGATATTATATCTAGGATAGTTGATTAAAGTACTTGGATCGTGGTGGAAAATCCATTACATACCAGATTTAATTTTTTTTTCATTGTTAGAAAAAACACATTGCAAAAAATTGGAAACTCAAATTGTAACTACCCAAGGACAACATTCAACAATTCAAGAGTCAGGTGCTAATTTGCATAATAAAAGTTAATCCAAAAATGCAAATGAAACTTCAAATCATCACAACTATTAAAGGAATTAAATTAATCTTTATTCCAATAAAAAAAAATAATTCAGTCCAGGATAAAAAGTTCAGTATCAACTTTTGTACTTGGCATGCATTGAAATAAAAATATCAAACACTAAATTTGATTTATTATAATTTCAGGAATTACTCAAACATTAAATTGAAGTTTGCAAGGACTTCAAAAACTCAATCTCAATCTCAAGTTAAAATAGAGCATTCTGTGGCTTCCTTAAGGCCAAAATTACTATCAGACAGGTCACAGTTGAAGACTGTGGTCACATGTGATCCCTTGTCAATCAGAATGTTATGGTTGCCTGAGCATCTGCTCCCCAGGGTAAGGGGGCACATGGCGTTCACACTAATTTGATTTAGTAGATTTGAATGTTTTTGATTTAACTGAAGAACCTGGTTCTCATTAGTGGTTGATGCTTTGGATTAAGTGTGGAATTCCTACTTAGGGAAGGGGCGGGAGGAAAAGGTGGATCCAGACCCTAGACAAGTTATTTATTAAACAAGTTAATTTATTGAAATCAAGACTTTTTAGCATTGTAAGATACTGCTTGTTTGACTAGAGATAGAAAACTGAATTGCCATAATTCATTGCGATAGAATGGTGGTCACACAGCCCTGTTATGTAGTGCTGAATATAAAATATGGTTTATGTGGCACGATGCACTGTAGGAGAAACAATAGTGTCAACAATAGCAAGTTTCGTGCTGATATTGTCCAAGAATTTCAAAGAAAAATTGTGAAAGCGGTTAAAAGACATGTCCAACAATAATGTGGTATCTTGCTTGGTCAGTTTACAGTGCCATTCACCAAAAGTCTGCTTTTTATTCAGAGGATAAAAAATTATCAACCAGATGCTTCATCTTTCAAGTTTTCTTTGTCAGCTTCCCAGGGTCCTTCACTGTCAATGTACACCTTAAATATAAAGAAAAATTTAAAGAACGCCTAGAAAAAAAACTTCCATATGCTGAGGGTATGGGAGGCATAGGGAATATTTAAAATTTATCAATTGATTGATTGATCAGACCTCAAACAGGAAGCCTATCAATTAATACAGATCTGCTCCACACAATATGATACTCATCTGATCCACAGTATTAAGTTTATAATACTAAGAGAAAACTCTAGAAATATTAAAATAAAAAAAAAAATTTGATTTATTTCACTCCATATCACTTACTTGGTATGTAATAAATTTCTTTAAAATTTGTAAACATGCTTCTTGAGATATCATTTTTATGCAAATTAGGTATTCAATATCAACAATGTTTGTGCATCATCACAGAGCATTCACGCATTAAGTTTCATTTAAATTTTTTTGAGTTGTTCTTGAGTCATTGTTGTATGAGCTGGAAACTGACTAATTCAATTATTATGCAAATTTGGTAATTATTATGCATAGATTACACAAAAAATAATCAGGTCTGTGCATTATCCTTAAGCATCTATGTACTTAGTTTTCTGGTAAATTGAATAGTGGTTCTTGAAATATCAGTGGAGAAGTGGACAAGCATACACACAGACAGGTTAACTACAAAGAATTTCATTGTGTGCTGCAATCAAATGTACTTAATTCTGACAGCCATTTTGCAATGGAGAACTGCTCACAGATCATCAGAAATATTGCGAAAATTAAATCGAATCAGAAAACAAACAGTATATTAAAGGATAAGAATTAATTGTGAGATCATTTAAAGACTTTCTCACAGAACAGTGAGTGGAGGTCTGAAAATTCACTATTGAAATAAAACTTGACGAGAAAGAATAACTTTTTTTTTTCAAATGTTTATTATGTGTCAATAAAATATTTGGCAAGTCAATCTTTGCAAACCAGTATGTCTTAATGTGATACTTAAGGTTTCTTGAGAAGGAATTCCCCCCCAAAAAATTCTCAAACTCATAATGTGAAAGAAAATTGCTGAATTTCATTAGTATGGATTTGGAGATTCTTTGAGTAATGTGTCGTTGTCGCTGGCACTGCTACTACTACTAGTACTATATTTAAAAATTCATAAATTGAATCAGTATAGCAGCCAATCAAAATAATTCAGGCACCAGAATACAAGAGTACCTAGATTTGCAATGTCATGTGCATAACTAAGATATTAAGTCGGCAGATTTGCATACTGTATGCAACACCCTATTGTACAATCAAGTTCTGTGTGTGTTATGTATCAATTTAACGTTCAGGTTTTTGTTCCTAAAAAAATTTGAAATTACTACGACATATCTAGCATGTAAAAATAAATTATTCAATAAAATGAATAATCTAAAATTTTACTGATATGCAAAGTAATTCGGTTTGCAAATTTTCTAACATTATATTATCGTATTCAGAGCCCTTGAAATTATCAGCCCTTGAAATGATGAATATTCAATAGAGAATGTATTCCTACTTACAGGTTTACTGGCCCTTTCTTCAATTGGTTCCCATGTTGTGTGATGAATCTAGACAAAATATGGGAAATACACTGTCAACACATTCTAGTGCAAATTATGAGTACCGTATTTGCTCTATTAGTAATGCAGTATGTAAATGATGAGGTGTATATGTACATAGGTGAGGTGTATAACACCTTGTCCTTTGATTACCAAGGATTTAATGTCAGTGTTTGGCATTCATCCCTTATCTTATACAAACTCATGTTAATAGACCCTTTTCTGAAGTCAAGACCCTTGCACTTTCCTGTGGGAGAGGCCTTTCAGGGAAACTCAAAAAAGAGACATAAAACTTGGGACTCACGAAAAAGAGTCTATAGAGTTGATTATTGCACGTCTTCCTGCAATAACTGATATGTAAATGTATATGAACAATGGGAACAAAGCCTGAACAACTGTACGTATTGATACCAACACAATCAGGTGAATGTGATTGATCAGTATGTAGTCCAGGTATAGTGGGGACAATTGTGTGTCATGCAATCATTTAGATATTTAACTTTATTTCGGCGGTCATTTAGTATCTGAATTCACATCTTTTAGGCCAAGTAAAATATGCGCATTTCTAGTAACAAAATAAACAAGCAGCCTGTCGGCTGAGATAGCTCCGCTGTTAGCAATGCACATTTCAATTAAAGAACTAAAGATATCATTAAAAAATGAACAATATGTATAGTATCAATGCAATGGGACTTGCTGTTTTCAACAGGAATTCAAAAATATCACTTTTTACCAAAAATGACAAAAATATTCACTAAAATTAGGGAATTGAAGATATCATCATGAAATGAACACATCTGAGAGAGGTCCACATGTAGTACCTATATATGTAATATCAAAGCAATTGGACTTGCGGCTTTTAACAAGAAGTCGAAAATATCACTTTTTACCAAAAATGACAAAAATATTCACCAAAATTAGAGAACTAAAGATATCATTAAAAAATGAACAAATCTGAGAGTGGTCCACATACAGTACATATATTTGTAATATCAAAGCAGTTGGACTTCTCCGAACCCGCCTATTCACAAAGTTCATACCCACCATAGACTCCGGTCAGTAAAAATGACTATTTTGAACTGTAGGCATTAATCAGCGATTCTGCCGGTGATGGAGAGATAGAATCTAGATCAGGGGAAGCCCCATAACCTCAAGATTCTTTTACCCCTTACGTCACGAACCCACATGACCGAGGCCACATGGCAGCGCCATAGGTAGCCGTCAATCACTCTGGTTTCTTTCTCCGCCTCGAGGACTTAGACCAACGCGACGGAAAGAGTGGAGAGGTTGGGGGGTACCCGGAGTCTATGGTGGGTATGAACTATGTGAATAGGTGGGTTTGGAGAACCCTCGCCTAAATTTACTACGTTCAATTACCCACCATAGACTCCGGTCAGTCAAAATGACTATTTTGAACTGTAGTCAGACACCGATAGGTGGCGGGTTTTTCCGAGCAAACAGAAAAAATTATGAAAGTCTTTTCCCAGTCCGGGATGAAAACAAACTCAACATCCTAGTTAAGACCCAAAAAAGGATGGTGTCTTACCTTGCCTGTGCTGTCCCCAGAGCAAGGAGCCAAAATGCTGCTACGGTGACAGGGTTCGGTGTGCCCGAGAAAGTTAGACCCCAACCAAAGTCTGGGGGGTAGTAAGCTTTCGAAGTAAAGACCGAAACAGTTCTGCATGAGGGCATAGGCCGCAAAGCAGGACTTGGGAGCTCCCAGGGGAGTGCTGATGGTAGAGAAATCTGTCTGCATAAAATGCCAGACTGACTTATTGCCTATGCGCAGGGACCCTAGCAGTCGTTCGGGCTGGGTCAGCAAACCAAGACTGACCCGCTACGACGGGACTCAACCTAGAGAGACCTTTTTCAATGGATTCGATGTCTCATAGATGGTAGTTGATAAAGATGTTCTCCAGAAGCCCGCCCTCCATGTGTGCTCGAGGGGGGGGCGCCTGACGCTAGCACTAGCGAGTTAGCCATCACACAGACCTCATGCGCTCATACTTGGTGTCTTTGCGAGCTCTGTGTCGAGGAATATAAAGTATTAGACCTCTAATACAGTCGCAGTAAACCACCTGGTTATGGAAGTTGGGGAGGCCGGCCTATCCTGCCTGCCTGGGCCATAACACAAAAATGTGTGCCTGGCACCCCGTTCCAAATCCTTAGTACGGTTTGGTGGCAACTGCATGCTCGAACCTGGTGGAGAAGGCAATTCCTCCTGACCCTCCGGGGAGACAACATTTGACAGCCGGGGGATGACGATCGCGTGAGGATCATGTCCTGGGATTTAGTTCTAGGCGAGAAACCCGATTCGTGTCTTTAGCAAAACTTGATTGTCCATAACAGCGGTCCATCATCCTAGAAGGACAATGCCCCCCCCCCCCCAGCTCTGGCCGACGCCTACCTGAGGCGAGGGCCAGTAGGAAGACTATTTTCCACGTCAAAAATTTGAGTGGTGCTGATTGGAAAGGCTCAAAGGACGGTCTGCTTAGAGCAGACAACACAGCCGACGAGTCCCAGTTGGGTGGCTTCATTGTATGGGGTCCTGGCATCCGGAAAGCAGTAAATAGTCTCCTAATAATAGGACAATCGGCTAGTCTTGTTACCGTACATTTGAGTGGTTGGGGACAAGGCCGACCTGTAGCCAATGATCGCTGCGTAGGACAAACCCACTTCGTCAAACAGGTGGACGAAGGAGCCTGCTACCTTGCCAATAGAGGGGTGGTATGGATCAATCTCCCTTCCGCTACACCAATCAGTGTATGCTCGCAGCCTAGAAATGTAGGCTGCGTTGGTGGAATCCCTGTTCGCCCTGGCCAGGACATTGGCAGCCCGCTCAGATAAAGCTTTCGTATGTGCGGGTCTAATGAGAGCCTCTATGCGGGTAAGTGATACCCCCGCTGGGCTCGTTGGTAGTGTGCCCTCTGGTTGAGACGGCAGGTCCGGTAAGTCCGGAAGCACTGATGGTGTTTTGACTAGCATTTCCAACAGAAGTGGAAACTAGGCCTTGCTTGGCCAATTGGATGCGATCCATGATAATATACGGGTGTGCACCTGTCAAAGTTTTCTCCGGTGCCCGGTGAAACTAGCGGGA